TAGAGAAAAAGACACCAAAATCTCACTTCATCAGACTCAAACATCTTTTTTTATATGCTTTCCTATATTTTCTTTACAATTAAACTTGAGTTCATATGCTCAAACCATTGCTCAAAAAGTAAAAGTTATATTTACTTCATAAGACAAGAAAAAGATCCTCTCAAAGGTACTCTATAAAACTTAACACCTGACTACCTAGAAGCAGAAATTCAGGTCATCTTAACTAAAGCATTCCTTAGCTCTTTTGTTTTATCAGCTATTATTTACTTACTTTATTCTGTTTATAAAGGAGTAGCTTAAATAATGTCCATAATACTACCATAACATATATCTAATGCCTCTACACGCTTGGTGTTTACTGATTCAAACAGATCAGTAATAGAGGAATTTTTTACTTCACTTGAAAACAAACAAAAAAGCAACCTGTCTGTTTTAAGTATTTTTATATTAAAATAAAGTTATACTAAAAATTTTTAAAAATCATATTTTTTCTCACCTTACAATTAAAGCAGCAAATAACTTCTCTTCTTTTTTCTAGCCATTGCTTTTGCATAAGTAGTTCTTCCCAGCCAATTTATTCACATTTTCCTCCAACATTTCCTGTATACACACCATTATGTGTATATTAAAGCACACATTTTAAAAAAATTAAAAAACTTTCAAACTTAAAAACCATTAAATTTGTTTTTACCATAACTACTCCACCTAAGAAACCAACTGCCCTTCTCTCCTGTTTTTTAACTTGTGTTTTGACCCTCCCATTTAATCTCATGTGCTCCACACCTGTGTCCTGACCCTCCCTGTGTAATCACATACGCTTCACACCTGGGATTTGTAGATAAGTTTTACTTGTCAATTACTCAATTTCAGAGATGGGAAATTAAAGCATGGTGTTTCATTGGCTTGTTTTCCAGAGGATACAGAATGAAACCCAGCATTCCTGCTGGATTTGTTTGTTTCTGTCGGAAGGGGAGTGGATGGTGGAGATGAGGAGATGTTATTGTTTCTTTATGATTTTTCTATGCTGTAGTAGACTAGTGGGTAATGTTTTAATTGAAGGAATGTTTTTTTTTCTCTGGAAAGTGTTGTTAGGGCTTTGCTTAAAAACAAAGCTTTTATGCTATAAAATATTTAATGCTTTTCATGTTAACAAAAATAAATTCTTGTGGGTTTTTATCTAGCTTGCATTTCATTATGAGTTAATAGTATGGTATAAGTACTTTATGTTCTAAGCTTTTAACTATTGTAGGAACAGCTTAAAAGCTACTTAAGATTAAAAATGCTCTTTCTGTGATTGAGGAACTCTTTCATTGTTTTATTCAAGGTATAAATGCAGAGTGTACTTTTGGACTTGTATAAAAAATAAGACTAACTTCAAAAGTCTAAGCATGTATTCCTATAAAACAAACATAAAAATAAATATTAGAGTATCACACTGTGGTGATTAGGGAACCCCAAATTAGCTACAGCTTCTAGGAGCTTTTCTTTGGTTGGTTGTTTTTTTTCTGAGATACGTTTACTAACACTGAGTGCAAAGGCTTGTTCAACTGAGACTTTTTACTAATACTAAATGACTAATAGTGCTTTTATGTTCAATTATTGAAGCCTATTTGGGAGATGAGAGCTTCTTAAGCAACAACTGTTTATAAGTTAATATTTGAGCCCTGAGGTAAAGGAATCTTTATTCACTAATGGCTTATTGTGAGAGCAAATCTCTGTGAAACTTTTTTTTTTAATCCTAATATTCCTTGTTGTTTGTTTTGGTTTTTCCCGTTTAGACAGCGTTTGATTTATGTAGCTTGTTTTTCCTTTGTCAGAGTATTCTTTTGTGCTTTTTGCAGTTGCAAAGCCAAAGCTGAACAGAATATGGTTTTGCTCAAGAGAATCAAAGTGCTCTTTTGGCTCTCCTGGTGGATGAACCTTGTTCTTCTCCTGGCTGTATCAGTAAGCTGCTTAAATAATTTAAACAGAGTGGGATAAGTTTGTATTGGGAGTCTCAGACAACAGACTTAATACAGAATCAACACAAGAGTGTAGCTGAGTAGCAACAGTCTGTATTACTACTATGAAATAACAGTTCTGCAGGAAAATATAGCTTAACCTGATAAAGGAACAAATTATTACAGCTTAGAGAAAGGTTACCCTTTAGATGTTTCTACTAGTTGAGGTGCAGGAACAAGCTAACAAAGGCTGAGCAGGCTCTTGGGACATGCAGATTTAAGAGAGCCTGTTTTCCTGAAAAAGATTTCTTGTGTAAATGTGATAGGGGCTGAAACTGAGACAGCATCAAGGAGGACCACCAAAAAGCTGATTGGTGGCTCATGAGGATTTCTATGGATGTTTGTGTTCAGGTATTTTAATCTGAACCTACCCTAGACTTCAAAGTCAGAACCTGTCAACAGCAGTATAGGAACTCTGAAAACTTGACTTAGTTTATAAACGTGTTTCATGAAACCTTTTTCCTTAATGCTTATGATATCGCATACCAGTTTCTGTCTCTTGCTGTTCTATCTGCTGAGAGGTGCATGATCCACATCTCCCATGCTGTGCTGGCATTGTTTAGAGACAGGTGAAAGGATTCACAAACCTGCTAAAAGAATTTGTCCCTTTGGGAAAAATAGCGTGCTGCAGAGAGGACCTGTTCCCTCAAACACGGTCGGGAGAGGATGTGCCATGGGTGTCCTCGGATGTACTTACACCAGCCCTTACCAACCTCTCCAGGGAGCTGTTTCACAAACAAGGCAGATACCCCTGCTGTGATGGCTGTGAACACCAGAGGGAGAATCCCCACTGAACCCCAAAGCATAACTTTCTCTTGAGGAGTTTCCTGATGTGAGTATAGGCTGTGGAATGGCTTATCTGAGACGATAAAGAGGAGATTTTGCATGCATGGCCTCCTCTTTCATTCTCCACATCCCCCTCCTCCTCTGTGTACATCCCTCATCCCTCTGTGGGTTTTGGTGGAGGCTGGGCACTGAGTGCGGGGTGACAACACTTCTCTCTGCCTTGCTTTCTGATGCATTGATTCTATTAAAGCCAAGCAGCACGCTGGGTATTTCCAGCATAGCCTGGGACATCTTCTGTCAGCCTGGTAATGCAGAGAGACAAGCTCAGTGCTGCTTGGCTTCTGGAGAGCGGGGGAAGGGATTAAATGCACTTTTCTCCATTGATTTATGTCCTGCACTGAAAATCAATGATGTTCTCTGGGATCCGCTCAGCTGTTTGAAAACCAGCAGCCTGTTTGGTCAAGCGTGCCGGGAAAAGTTGTGAAGGAATGGGCTCTTAAGATGTGGGTGGATGGGATAGGTACAAGCGCTCTGTAGGAATTGTTATATTCACCTGACGGTGATTGCTTTTGTCTCATCAGTCTATATTAGTTGAATATGCTGTTTTAACACATTTTGTCACTGTTACAGAGAGAACAGCTGTTTTGGAGAGGAGGAGCCAAATGCGGCTTTTGTTTCCATCTGAGGCTGGGAGCAAATGAACTTACATGAAACAGGATGCGCAAGGATCATTTTTATCCATGTTATTTCTCTGTGATGAGACCTGCCTGAGTCTAGGTCTGATTTTGTCCAGGATGGTGGTGTATCTTATCTTCCAGTAAACACTTGAAAAGCTTGTACTGTAATTAAGAGCTTTTAAGCATAGTGTGGACTTAAAGATCCTGTGTTTGTTTTCATCCCTGGAGAGGAGAGAAGGATGCTATCCCTGATTTTAGAAAGGAGGTATATAGAAACTATGTGTAGATGGGGTTACACAGGGAGATAACGAAAAAGCTTGTATCTGAAGTCTGAGATCTCAAACCACAGGCTGACAGCCTTGTGTATGGCCTGCTCCTTCTCTTACATCTTGGAAATAATTTCATAAGTGTTCCTAAGGGAAAGAATTTTTGTTACATCTTCCAAAGCTTTCCTTTGGCCCCAAGTTGTACAAGATGGGTAAATTTGTTTCACTGGGCTGTGTAGGGTGGACATTTCTTTATGAGTATGCCTATTTTTTAGGAAAATACGCTGTTGCTGCTTATGTAGATGCACTTCAGCAGATTTAAACTAACTAGTGGGGGTTTGGCATCTATATAGCTGTGGCAACACCCAGATGCTTACTCAGCTTCTTGAATGGTTTTACAGCCGCTGCAATATTCCCAAGAAGGCTGGCTGGAGTGCTTTGTTTTTCTGAAAAGTAGCTGTATCCTAGCACATAGGGATATAAAGGTAAGCATGACCTCTGTGTGTGTGAAGTGCAAGAGATCACAACAGTTGTGTAAACTGTGTAAAACATCACTGTTTCCATGGCCTTATTTGAGCAGCAAGATATATATGTGTTTCACTAAAGAATAAAAAAAGTTCTGTTCTGGCTGGTTCAGTTCAGTAGATGGTCCGAGCTATCTTCTGTGAATATTCCCTACTACATTTGATCCTTCTTACAGAAACCGAGGGGCTTTTCCACTGCTGTGATGGCAGGAAAGGAATGGAGTGTCTGAGGTAGTTTTTAAAACTTGCTCACTTGCTGCCTCCAGGAGGGAGAAGCTGAAGATGGGCTGTAAAGGTCTTTCGGGCTGCCTTAAAATGCCTTTTGGGAACGAGTTATAAGTTGCACCCCATAGCAGTCACTAAATGGAGACAACCAATTTCTGCTTGATTTAGCTTTTTCTCTCATCAGCGAAGCACAGATAAAATGCAAAATTAAATCAATTTTTAGGAATTTCTTCTCTCTTAGAAACTCAGAAAGCCATGAAGCAAATGGAGAAAGTATTGCTGCAAGACTAAAGCTTTAATTTTGCAATTTACTAGCTACAAAAGCGAATAAAGATAATGTATGCATGTGAGTGTGTTTACCATTCTGAAGAGCATGTGTGCTTTTTTTCCTGAGAGTCTCTCTCTAGCCCTTGAGTGACGAATCTGATTTTTTTTCCATGCTGGATTTTTACTGCCTCCAAACTTAACTGTTTTGACACTAGAGAAATCCCCTTCTTTCTCCCTCCAAGGTAAATATATGTATTATTGCTAGAAATGTACATGACTGGTCTTCACTATTAATCCCAGCTGATGGTAGGGAGGGGCTCTTCTGGGAGGCAGCCATGTGGTGAACATTGAGCACAGTGTTTTCCCCTGCTTCTCTCCTTTTCAGACAAGCAAAATTGTTCTATGCTGCCGTAGATGCGAACTCCTTGCTGCGCTGCCTCTGTCTCTTCTTTTCCAGAAACTCCAGGGCCTGAATTACCAGCCGCAGAGATATAAAAGCTCTCACTGAATCTGGATGGAATATGGACAAGGAGATGAATAGCAGAAGGGAAGAAAGAGTGAAGTTGGTTATTTTTCTGGCACATGGATGCAATTACGCTCAGTGCATTCCAGAGGCGTTCCTTTGAATCCTGTGCAGGTCTGCCTGCCGTTCCTGGGAGAAAGGAAGAAAAAGGGAGGAAAAGTCCCTCTTGCTTGGAGACGGAATGTCTGCACTTTCAATCCTCTTTTTAGGTAGGTTGGCTTTTTGGTTTTGTTTAGCGTTTTTAATCAAACTTCCATGCGCCCTCTCTGCATGACTGAAATTCATTTCTGATGAGGAAGAGAAAGGGATTTGTACAGAAAACTTTTAGGGAAAACTCCAATTTCAGTTTTGTTTGGGTTCTGATGCTTTTCTTGTTGCTTTATTAGCAGGTTGATAGCCAGAGGTCTTTTAATATCTGGATTTGTTTTTTAAAAGTGGTGGTTGAACAGGCTCCTTTTGGAATGTATGTTTCTTCTTTAAAGAGGGCAGCGCTTTTAAGCAATGAACTACCGAGGGGCTTGAACCTCTTTCTCAAAACAAGGTGAACAAAATGTCTTTGTTTCGAGCATAGTGTCAAATTTGTTTAACTCTGTTTTGGTTTCCTTGGGCATTTAACATTCAGATTTTAAAATAAAAAGAGGTTATTGTTTGCAATTTATGCCTAAGATTAGAAACAGATGTGTTGAAGTGCAAGAGGGAGGAGGTGGGGGGGAAAGGATGGGAGAAGGGAGATAAAGGGGGAAGGCAAGAAATGGGGAAAAAAAGGGCTGCTGAAAGAAGGGAAAGAAAAGAGGTAGAGGGGAAAGAAAAGAGGTAGAGGTTGACTGTTGAATAGGAGAGGAGCGGAGATTGAATAAGAAAGGAGCAGAGAACAAGAAAGGAGACATTAAAGGAGAGTGAAGAGAGAAGGGCTGAAGAGAGCTGTTTGTTAAAGCCATAGCCTATGGAGAAAAGAGTTTGCAGCCCTGAGGTCTTTGAGGGGGCTTGCCTACAAGACTGACTCAGAAGCAGCCTGGGTTTCTGTATCTCCAGAGGCGCTGTAATGTGATGAGTGAGCTTCTCTCTCCATTCTGCTCACCAGAGAGTGCTGACAGGCAGACAGCTTTGAATTTTGTTGTGCTTGGGCAAAGGCTGATTCCTGAGTCCTCCTGTCTCCCAGGAACCTGGGTACAGGTGTGAAAAAGTGGGTTGGTCTTTGATTCCCTGGGAAGAGTTGAGTCCCACAGGTTGGTGGACTGATGTGGCTGGGCACAGGTAAAATAGAGTTTTTGGACAGGTATAAAAAAATGTTGCAGGGAACAGTCCTGTTCCTCAAGTCTTGCAGGTGTGGAACGTGGACTAGCCAGACTTCTAGATACCTGAAACACAAGCAGCATTTGTAGAGCTGCTGAATAAATTGTAGAAAAGGCTTTTGCTGCAGGGATTGCTGTTAGCAAAGGTTTTATCTGGAGGAGTGTGACAGGGGGCTTGGACATGCTGGAGAACCTGCAGGGGACTGCAAGCAGCAGTTTGTCCCCCCTGCACATCTGCCTTGGCCATTCGTGTCTCAATATGGTGGAGACAGTATTTAAAGAAGACTTCAGGAGATGAGACAGCAAGGCTAGAAAGAATAGTTAGGCTTCTGCCGGAGGTGCCTGGGCTGGGGCAGCCCTGCAGAAATGGCCAGGAAAGCTGCTCTGTGGATATTAAGAGACAGAAGGGCTGTTTCCTTACCTCACTGATGGAGACAAATGGAACTACAGTCTTTGGTCTGCCACCCTGTTCAGCTGCTGGATATTCCTATATGTTGAAGGTTTGGAGCAAAAGGAATAAGCTGTTACCAGAGAAAAAAATGGTCTTGGCTGCAATGTAATGACAATTAACCTTTGCATGATGAGTGCAGCTTTTATGAAACACAACTGGTTTTATCATTATTGTTATGTCTTTGGCACCTAGGTGTCTTCAGTATGCTGTTAACACAAAATAAAAGACAATCCCTGCCCTCAACAGCTAATGCCTTCACCCATGAGTTGAGTTTCCCACCTTCTCTGGGAGTTCTCCAGGCACTGGTGATGGGACGATAAGTAGTTCCCTAAAGTTTAAAGTAAACTCCAGGATGTTAATTTTCCTGGTGTACTCCATTAGTTGTTGAAGTGCCCATGTCTTACCCAGGCTTTTCCTGCCTCGTCAACTTGGTCTTCCTGCTCTTCGTTCACCAACATTAGAAGTGTGTTGTATGGAAAAGCAAGCAAGTATTGTCATTCCCTGTTCCTATATTGTCCTGAAAACGAGGAGTCTGGGGAGTCTCATTTGTTAGAGGAAAGTCTAATTGATTTTCTGCAGCAAAAAGCTATGGAAGTGCCAATGATGGCTTGCTCTTCTTGCTGATAAAGTGAAAGACTAATGAGGAAATAAGGGTTGAGAGAAGCCAAGCAAACTTGAAAGGGAGGTTGCCTGCTTTGTGTTTTAGTTATTTAACATACTAATAGCAAGCCTAATATATACAGTCCTTTTCTCTTATGCATTTTGCCTCTCTGGGACAAGTGAGCAGCTGTGTGAGGAGACAGGAAACAGGAGACAATTAGTTTTAAGGAGACTTTTAAAACAAGACAAGATGAAAGACGTTCCTAAGTGTGGGCAAGAGCATGACCATGCTTCCTCCCCTGGTAATGGCTGGGTAAGTGAAAAAGGAAGGGGTGAGGAGTGGAAGGTGATGTGTGCTGATGTGTGTGCCTACATCTAAGTGGCTGACATCTGATTCTCATCTCAGCCCACAGCTGGTCAAAATTGTTTCAAACTCCTTGTGTCGCACACTGCACTCTTAAAAATCAGAATGGAAATTTCCAAGGGAAATATCTCTGATTCTTCACTACCAAGTGTAAAAACTTCATAATAGAATGTTGTGTTTCTCAGCCAGTAAAAATCTAGCAAATGTTTTCATTTAAATGTTTTACTCTTTTGGTTTAAATTTCCAGGTGCTGGAATTCTCCTTTTGCCTTCTTTCACCTTCTCCAAGCGTTTGGATATTTTTAATGAGCCTTCCATTGAAGTAAAAAGCTAATTTTCTTGTGATCAAATATGTTCACATGGGGGTAACTCTTGTGTGCCTGGCTCTTACACTGGTCTAATGTGCTTTTTCTTCACTTGTTGGTTGGTGTATGTGTTTGGCCCTTCAGAAACCAATGGGTTCAAGATAAAAAGCAGTAGATGTGCCAAGCCAAATCCGTCACCCAGCTTTCTGGTGTCCTGCAGTTGGCAGTGAACCTTTACGTTAGTGTTAGGGGTTGCTCAGCCCAATGCCCTTTTAGTCTGGCTTGTGATCGCCTGACAAAGATGTGTTCAGCGTGTTAGAATTAGGGTGTTATACAGGGTATTTCTAGAGTGGGCACAGCTGTAATAGCAAAAGTACCTTTTGTAGTGATGCAGCAGGGCTCTGCCCTCTGAGCTCTGAGGTCAGTGACTCTCCTATAGCTCTGTCCCAGGGGGATCCAGTTGCTGCATTGAACACCAAGGCTCTGACTGTCTCACTGCACTGGGAAAAAGGTTATGGTGCGGATCCTTCCAGTGCCTGTTGGCATGAGCAATTGGGTCTGACAGCCTGCATTTGCCTAGGTATTCACCCGACTTCTAGCTTGAAAATCTGTGATGATATGGAAGCAGCTCTGCAGCGTTCAGCAGTGGTAGGTCAGCCTGAGGCTGTGCTGTACTAGGCTGAGTCTGGCCTTCTCTCCCGCACAGGCAACCTGCAGTGTGCCCTATCACATCTCCTTGAGATCCTTCTCCCTAAGCCCTTGCAATGCTACACTCCAGCAAAGCCAAGAACCGCTGCAGCATTATTAAAAAAAAAAAATACTCCTGCTCCCAGTGAGGTTGCTGGGAAGCTTTACATTTTAATGGAATGCTTCAACCTGGAACTAGTAAAAAGCAAGGGAGACTGGTTTAAGCAACCTGAGAACTAAGCTGATGGATCTTTTATTTCTGCTGATTTTCCGAGTATTTCCTGAGTTCCTCACCAATAACTAGCAGTGTATATGACACTTGTTTTTTCCTAGTTTTCTCATGGTTCCTCTGCCTTTGTTTGATTCATGCTACTTAGAAGCTTGGTGGGACAAGGGGTTTGCCCCATCTTTTTACAGCATTTAAAAAAACAGAGCTTTGGCTCAGGAGTGGAGTACAAAAAGAAAAACCCTTTGCTGTGAAAAGGGATTTTTTGTGTGACTTTGTGTATATGTCACCTTTTCTTTCCTTCATTGGATTCTGATGGAATGCAGGTGACTTGGTGTTATTTAGCTCAAAAGATTTTTCTCCCAAGGACAGCTTCGTTTAATTGACAACTCATTTCTGTCATGAACACTCGAAAGCAGTCAACAAAAACATCAACTGTAGGCAAGATTCAGCCTGTTAAAGTAGTGTGAATTTAGTCCTAGGACGGGGCAAAGAGCTCTTTAATAGAACTCTTAAGAATACCTAAGGAAAGGCAGCAAAGCAGTGTATCCATTTGGCACTCCAGGGGGAATTCAAAGGAGTGAGACATAATTGAGTTGCTATCTGGCAGGATATCAGGGTTAACACTCCTTGTGAGACACTAAAATTTGTCTAAAGCCACGGATGGTTTGCATCAAATATTTTCTGTCAAGACACTTGATGAGAAATGGCCTATTTTTCTGTAGAAGTGCTTTGTTTTATATGAAGACGTTTGGATTAAAAAAAAATATTTTTGGGGGGGTTATTTTGATCCCTTCTGGTTTTTCTCCATTTTACCATGAGGAAGAAAAGGAGGGAAAAAGGTATCCTTCCAGAATGAGGAAAAGCAGCGTGCCAAAGTTGAGTTGAAATTCTGAAGATTAATTTGTTTCATGGGAAAGGGAGCTGAGGAGCTCTGTTTTCCCATGGAGAACAACTGGCATTTTGCCTTTGTGCCCACCCTGGACCTTGGCTCCTCCACGTAAAATTAGTGGTCTGTTTCTGTGGGATACTCTGGCCCACTTCAGAAGGACATTTTGTGTAAGAGCAGCACAAGCTTCCCAGAAATGTCATTGCACAACTGGCTTGGAGATACCCTGATGTTTATCCTCAGGATCACAACAACCACCCCTGTTTTCCTCAAGGCAAATACAGGGCTTTATGGGGAACTTAGCAGGCTTGCAATCTGGGATTTGTTTGAGTTTTCAGGAGCTGCCTGAAAAGAAAATGTAAACAGTCACTCTGACAAAGCCTTGTGTGTATTTGA